CTGGGTTTGACCAACCTGCCACTACCAGCTTAAGACCAGAACACTTTGTTCCATCAAAGGGATGGGAGCAGGCAGAAACCACTCTGTATGGAATAGTTACTATATGCCAGGCATTGGGCTGGGAGCCCTGCAAATTAGAGATTATTCTCCCAACTTGATAGGTGAGAAAACTGAGATTCAGAGAATTGATTTGATCAGTGTTATCTAGCTGGACCAGAGTTTGAATTCAGGTCTAACTTATTCCAAAGCTCTTCATTCATCTTTTTTGTTACAGTACACTCAGCACTCCAGGGGGCAGAAGGAGAAAGAGGCATCTCAAGCTTCTTCCTTCAGCCGTCTCCAGAGCATTCCTGCTTCCAGAATTCTCTGTGCCCAGGCAGGGGAACATGGGTCGCTGAGCCACTGAAGGTCTGATAAATTAGGGGCAGTTTGTAAATTAGAAAGAAGGTTTTGTGCAGAGATTTTTGTCGCACAGAAAATTCTTCCCCAGGGTTTTTAGCCTCTTTAACATTCTCAAGCCATAAAAAATTGTTCCTGCATAAAAAAGGCTTAACAGTGTATATGGTAAGAGGCCCAGGACTTTTACCAGAAGAAATTCTCCAAACTAGAGGAGAGATGAGCGTTTCCCAGCCTTCTCTCTTGACACTCTCATTTCATGTTTTGTGCTCCAGTCATGCCAAACCTCTTGCAGATCCTCATACACCCCATGCCCCCTTCTCCACTGGGTGAGACCCCTTGTCTCTGCCTGGAGCCCTTCTTCCTCTCCTGCGCTCCCTTTTGTCGGCAAACTCCATCGATAATCACTCCTCAGAGAGGCCTCCGGGCCACTAAGACTGGGTTAGGTTCCCTGGTTATGCACCTGCAACTGTGGTCCCCATTCATAGCACTCAAATGACGTATAGGTATGTGCTTGCTGGTCTGTCTCCCCCTCAGGCTTTGGGACTCCTCATTCTTCCAAGCCTTAGTCACCTGCTTCAACAGGACAGAGGTTTTATTTGGTTTGGTCCAGAGGTGCATTTATAATACTATGGATTGTGGCACAAGAATGGTGCTAGGACTCAACCCAAGCCTCTGGACTCTCTGCCAATGCCCTTTCATCTAAAACCCATTGAAGAGTAGACAGCCTCCCAGTTCCCCCCAAACACCCTCCCCACATCCCACACAAGCAGATCCTGCCTTGTTGCTGAATCACTCATGACTTTTGGTCTCCTGCTTTCTTGGCCTCCCACAGCACAGGACCAAGCACATATGTGGATTAAGTGAAATCAGTTTTGTCTTTTTTGTCTTCCATGTGACATGGAGCCAGGTTCAGTCTAGACTCTAGAGGAAGGGTGGTGGGGTGAGAAGGATTCAGGCTGTAGAACCATTATCGACCCCGGTTCCAGTCACTCTATTGCCCCTTTATTAGCTTTGTAACCTTACATGAATCATTTGAACCTGTTACCTCATCCAGAGGAGATTAGTATCAGCTCCTTAAGCTTGTGTGAAGAGTGAGAGCATGTACGAGGTAGGACAATTAAGTTCGCAAACTCATCCTAGAACAAGTGCTACACACCTCATTGCTGAATATCACTACAGTCACCTTCAAAGTGCTCCCCTTGGGAAGCTCTGCGCCGACACCAGCGCCTAGTCTACCCTTCAAAGCAATTTTGGTCAAAGGGGTAGTAGATTGGGGTAGGGGGGGTTATCATTTTGTGAGGGGTGTAAATGTCTAAATAGTACATTGTTTTGTACACCTGAAACTAATTTTTAAAACAATTTTGGAACTCTTTTTCTGGAATGGCCAGCCGAGCTGTCATCATATTACCCTTGATGTCCTGAATATCATCAAAATGTCTGCCTTTCAATATTTCCTTTATCTTCGGGTAAAGAAAGAAGTCATTGGGGGCCAGATTGGGTGAGTAGGGAGGGTGTTCCAATACAATTATTT